GATCTGCGAGCTGATATATTTCCTTCCTCCTTCTAACCATGGTGTGCTGGCATATTTACCCAATACTATATTGCCTATAATATTATACTGCTTCTAGTGATCGATAATTTCAAAAGTGAATGAAAATTAATGTGAAAAAAGATTTTAAATAAGTTAAAGAAACTTAAGAATCTGACAAAAGAAACCACACTGCAAAGTATTTCAAAAGAAATGCTCGTCAAGAAGTCCCCTAGCAAGAACTGCTACAATTTTTTCCTAGAAGCAGTAAGATTGTAAACAGGACAAAAATGGAACTGGGTCGTTGTCAGGACCTTCTATGTTTACTAGACTTTCAACATCAACAAATGTTTTGCACACAAGGGTGACTTATGCAACTCCCCTAGTTTTATACATAGATCCCCATGAATATTCATCCTAAAAGAAAAGGCAACTTTGGGCTTGTATATCTACCACACACACACACACAAAAAATGTTACCAAATCTTGGAATAAGTATGAACTATGTGTAAGAGTTTACAGTGTATTTGAAACCGTTAACAGTGCACCTAAGTGTAAGATAGTAATCTATTTAAAATGGTAGTTTCACATACACTGACAATTTCTGTTAAATTCCTAACAACTTTCCACACCTGTAACATCAGGAATGGCCTTAAGAACAACTAGAATCCAAAACTCCAGAAAAACAAGATGGCAGTAGCAACAAGTTGCATTAAAAATACTTCCAAACTAAGGTAATCTTTAATGATTGCAGGTTAACAGTTCTTAAATCCCCCCCCCACACACACACTGAAAATCAGTAACCTTAATGAGTGCAGGAAGCAGCATTAAGGCCAGAGAATTCAATTCTCTGTTGTCTCCTCAGAAGACAGCATATTAAAGTAAGTGATTCGGATAAGTTTTATCGTTTGATTACCACCTACGGTTTCAAAGATATTTACAATCTTTGGGACTTGATTACTAACACCCATTAATATCCAAGCAAAAATACAAAGAACTGCAATTCTCCTAACAAAACATCATTAATAACCTGTTTTCTGATACTTAAAATTTATGTTTCTCCTTACAATACACCCAATTCCTATATTCTTAAAGTTTCCATCAAATCTCAAGCTAGACGTGGCCAGTGTGGCTGGCTTGGGCATCATCCTGTACACCAAAAGGTTGCTGGTTGGATTCCAGGTCTGGGCAAATGCCTGGATTTCAGGCTTGATCCCTGGTGTGGCAGTGGTGGTGAGAGGGTGAGAGTGAGTGAGAGTGTGTGTGTGTAGACCGCAACCAACTGACGTTTCTGTCTCTCTCCACCACTTCTCTTTAAAAAAAAAAAAAAAATCTTAAAAGAACACACCTCAGGCTAATGATGTTTAAAGGGCATAGAACTTTTATGAAGTATTCTGGTCTCTTCTCCCCCATTCCACCATGGCAAAAAAATTTTTTTAAATAATAATATATATCTATATGTAAATAACCCAAATTTGATCAAGCCTCCAAATCTATCTTCTAATTCATAGGAAATACAGGTGGCAGAAGAACATGCTAAACAATACATAATACAACCAGCAAAACCAAGTCTGCGAAAAACTAAGATTAAGGGATTTTATTATTTTAGGTATAAATGGTATTGTGGTTGTTAATAAAAAGCAGTCTTTATCTTTTATTGATAGACTATTCTGTTATACAGGGAGGGGCAAAAGTAGGTTTACAGTTATTTGTATGGAAAATAACACAGTAATTAATAATACAAGAATAAACTGTTTCACATCACCACAACTGTAAACCTACTTTTGCCCTATCCTGTATACTATATTTGAATTTAAATGCTCCATAATACAGTGGGGGGAAAGTTGAACTATTAAAAAGGATGTCTAGAATACAAATACCAACCATTCTTCATTTTACTATGCATTAGTTTGAAAATGTTGTCACACATAAAGAACCCTAGTTATGCTAGAGGAGTTAGTTTTGGGGAAGTAGTGGTGGGGTGTCCATGATTCCCTTCATTTTGATATCTAATTAGTGTCAACAAAATGTGTAATAGTAATAATGTATGTATTAATGGGGTTAAATAAAATACTAATTCAGAAGTATAATTTTCAGTAATATTAGCATATAACAACCTGTGGAGGGTTTGAAAAACAGGAATCCTCATGCTCTAAAATCGTCAGGAATTCTTCATTGTAAATAATATTTTTGGGTCCTTTATAATACAATTTCTTATCTTTCATGTTTCCTTCAGTCTTCATAGCAACTATATTAGTAAGCATTATTTCAATTTTAGGGATAAGAAAACATTACATGTATGACTTCGATCATGATCTTCTTTGCTAAGTGGCAGGTCCTTGTATTCCTGATACATTCTTTTCTCTGCTCCGTATCAGCTGCCTCCCCAACCATAACAATAGTTATTAGACCTCAAGATCTCAGAAAGCTGAATAATAAAGAAATCATCTAAAGTAATGCCAGATCTGTCTTGAAATATTTAGCATGTGAATTTCATGTTAAAGGCATGACTAAAGGACTAAAGTGACTAAGTAGACAATGATTTAATCCTCATTTATAGTCTGACTCGGCTTTTCGCATTTCAATCATTTTCCCATCTTCTTCTTCTATTTAAAATTGATCTTAGAGAGAGGAAGGGAGAAACATCAATGAGTGAGAGAAAAATCAATCACTTGCCTCCCAACGATTCCCCATCTGGGAATAGAACCTGGATATGTGCCCTTTCAAACCCCACCACCATTTAGTGTACAGGAAGACGCTCCAAGTGAACTGAGACACAGTTTTTCTTTGTTAAGATTTTAAATTGATTTTTTAAGAGAGGAAGGGGGAGGGAGAGAGAGAGACACTGACGAGCTGCCTTCTGCACACCTCGGACTGGGACATGAGCCTACAACCCCGGCATGTGCCATGACTGGGAACTAAACCAGCAACATTTTGGTGCATGGGACGACACCCAACCAACAGAGCTACACCAGCCAGGTTGCATCTTCTTTTAATAAAGAATCCAACATAGTTGACTTATGATCACTGTACTACGAATGAGGATAATAACAAAAACCTTAACCTTACGAATAAAGAATCTTCAGAACGATTTCTCAGAGAAAACAAACACCATTTGCCAAAGTAATTTTCCCATTCTTCACTAAGCCTGTTCATTTTCCCACCACAGACCTCAGTACAATACTTGAATCAGCTCTTTAGTAGCTACTACTTGCTTGCTCCATTTAGTCTTCAGAAGTTTTTATATTGACTGAGATTAGAATGGAAGAGGGAAGACATTACTTTTAACTGACGCTATAATATCAAGCAATACATCAAAGAATAACTAAAGGCATTCTCTTCTTTAAAAACTGAAGAGTGAGGCTAACAGTGTGTTGCCATCAATTTTTAGTAACAAACAACAGTGGTAAGGAATTTGAAGATATTTCTGCAAACATCTAAATTTCTTCACTATTCCTTGCTGTCTGTCCCCCAAAAATGTATATAAACTGTTAACAGCTGATAGCTCAATTGAAGTTTCCTTCTTTTCAGATTTAACCAATTGGAATGAATAGTTATTCAAAGTGTGTATACCCATGCCCTGCAGGTGTAATTGAGCAGGAGAACACGTTATGGCATTCAAGGATTTTTACAATGTAGATCCAAATAATTTTTCCAGTCTTATTCCTTAGGCCTTTTAATTATTAGCTACCATAATCTACGTGATATTTCTCAAACACAAAGGAACAACTTACACCGACTTATCAAGTTCAATGTATGAGTATGCTCAAATACTTCCATATAATGCATAATTTAAAAAGTACCAAACCAGCCCGGCCAGGCGTGGCTCAGCGGTTGAGCGTCGACCTAGGATCCAGGCGATCGGGGTTCAATTCCCGGTCAGGGCACATGCCCGGATTTCAGGCTCGATCCCCAGCTGGGGTCGTGCAGGAGGCAGACTCATCATTGATGTTTCTATCTCTCTCTCTCCCTCTCCTTTCCTCTCTCTGAAATCAATAAAGATATATTTAAAAAAAAAAAAAAGTACCAAACCAAATATACCTAATGTTTCCTTAATAATTCATGAAGATTAATGTTATCAGAATGCCAATGTAATGCCAATCCTTTTTGTCTATCATGCCACTCCCCAATAATTAATTCCTATAAGAGGTGGAGATGGAAGAGGGCAGAGACGGGATAAAGTGATGGAAAAAATAAAACAAAATAAAAATTAAAAAAATTAAAAAGTACAATCATAACCTATCCCTACCCATACACCTTCCAATTTTATTTCTCAGGACTCTCCAACAAATACTAATGCTGTTCTGAAGGCACAAGAAGAAATCATAATCATTATTCCAACCCCCTTACCTTTTAGAACTATATCACCATGATCCCCAATCTATAGTATAAATGTTAACATTCTAACGTTAACCTCTAAAGCAATTTGTATTGTTAATTCATTATATATATACTAATTATATCCTATTTTGCATTAGTTGGTTTGCTTAAAGGTCAGTATAGAATAGTTAAGGTTAGGAATCATTTTTATTTTATTTTTTTTTAGTTTTGCTGTAATCCCATACAAGGCAAAGCCAAGTGGCAAGTATACAATAGGAAAATTAATAGGAACATGGAACTGCTATTTAAGTCCCATTTCATCATTAGGTAAGTCAGTAAATCCTTTTATTTGACATATAAATTAAAACAAAAGAAAACTATCTGTTCCAAAAAAAACCCGTTAGTCCAAAAAATAATAGACATGTCCCAATATGCCCTCAAGAAACATAAACTGATTCTTTGAAATCAACACAAATGTCACCTTATCTAGTCTACCTCAGACAATTTGCAGGAAGGTATATTTCATTTTGTTTTGGCAGAAAGAGGGGACTTTGTTTGAAAATATGTTTGTGTTGTTCATAACTACAAAAGGGAATGTTCATTACTACAAAATAGAAAATAAAATGGTTCTCACTAGGTGGCTTTTTACCAAGATAAGACAAAAGAAAACATGTTTAACATACCTGTCATAATAATCCCGTTGAAAGTCATAGTCCAAGTCAAAAGAGGAGCTGAAAAAGAAATACCAAAAAGTATTAATTTGGAGCTGTTGATGTCAATTCACAATAGCTGATGGGGGGAAAAAACCCAAACCCACACCAAACCAACCACAACAAATAGATCCAACAGATTAGCATGGAACAACTCCCAATCATTCAAGTAACGTCACTAAATTTTAAGCACCTTAGGCTACTGAACATGCAGTGGACAAATTGCAAATTTAGGTGAAAGTTTGCTAGAATTTCCACATACAACATAATAGCTAAAATAAGAACACTAAAAATGACAACGGTAAACTAAACATTCTTAGGCCATCTTCCCGTTCTTATTCCCCAGGTTCTTAGAGCTAAATTCCCCTTGAAGAATTTTAATTTATGCTAAATATCAAACTACTCTTTAATAGTAAAAATGTCAAGGAATTCTAGTAATTCTCTGGGAAATGGGTGAAAAGGAGGTATGTTAACAAAAAATTAATAAAGCACTACACTTTTACACAGATGAAACATACTACAGTTAACCCTCCCACATCCAGAAAAACAGATAGAGAAGATGCCCACTGATGGACATAATGCAGTTATAAATAATAAAGTTCCGGACCTGAGTAGAGGGGACGGAGAAGGGTGTTCTGGTACTGACCCGTACATCTCCGCTGCAGATCGTTTCACACCTGCTTTTCCTCGGTTCACTTTTGGCTCTGCGGCCAGATTAATATCTGAAAAAAACAAAACCAAAAATTTTAGTGACAACTCTGTTAGGATTTTAAAAGTGTACATAGTCATATAAATCAGGGGTGGGCGTGGATCTCAAATTACAGCTTTTAAAAGTGTACATAAGTCATATAAATCAACAAAGGTCTAATACTGTATCTCACCTTTCCTTATAATATAAAAAGGCTCAGGAAATTTTACAAGACTAGTATAGCATGTAATCTTCCATTACTTTGTCCTCTGTTCTGTACCAAAAAGGTGTTCATTATTTATAATACATTAAGTTTGTCTTCGGTACCTTCCCCGCTCAACTCCTACTTCAATGAAACTCTTACCATTCAGAACATCCATTCTGTTCACTCAGTTATTATTATCACAGGAGAAAAGGCACTGCCTTTCTGGTAATGATTCTGTGCATTTTAAATTAGTGCAAATATATTAGGAGTGAGTGAATGACCCCGGAAATTTAATATGGCAGTTCATGAATATAGTTGACCTATGTATGGTACCCTTAAATTTCCACAAAGGCAAATTTTAATTCTCCTTACAAATAGAATCAGCTGTAAAAAGTTGCATTTAAAAATGCTTAAGAAATACTATGCAGAGATGCTTAATAACCTGTACATGCACATACATAAACACACAGTGAGAAAAGGGAAATAAAGGAGCAAAGGAGAAAATATACTAGTTTTAAAAAACCTATTCCAGTGGCTAACTACTTACCCTGTTGACCCACTGCCTCCAAAACAAGAGTTCATGTGCTCCCTCATTAACAAGAGACAATGTGTCATAAACCAATTGGGTGAAGGCTAGCTCTCCAAAACAGTTCATTCAATGAATAATTAAAAAGCAGCTGTTTAGTACGTTGTGTATTTGCTAAATAGACAATTGATAATTTTCAATTCTTGGTTCACTAAATTAATTTCTAATTTTTAATGTGTATAACAACCTTGCTTTTACAGTTCTGACTATAAATGTTTTAACATTAAAGGTAGAATTAAATTTTAAAAAATGTATGTTTCTACTGATTTTGAGAGAAGGGAGAGTGTGAGGGGGGAAGAAACACTGATGAGAGGAATGTCGATCGTCTGCCCTCTGCATGCCCCCTACTGGGGCTCGAACCCACAACCCAGGCATGTCCCCTGACTTCGAATCCAACCAGGGACCTCTCGGTTCATGGCATAACACTAAACCAACTGAGCTACACTGGCCAGGGCAAGACAGAATTACATTTTTAAAAAGCAATTTTAAAACGTAAAAACAGAAACAATAGAACTAAACTATGATTACATGGCTTAATAATTCTTTCAAGTGATTCTAAACTATAGTACTGAGTCAATACCCAGAACAGAATATGTATTTAAAAAATTGCATTTAGTAAATTTTAGTAAAAATACGGATAGTTATTTTAAAACTCTGGCACAAAGTGCACATAAAATTGTACGTTTTCATTTCTTAAAAAAGTTAAGAACCCCCTATTCTACATTCTACGCACAAAAACTTGATATACAAAAAGTGGTTTCGAAATAATTCCTGTTAAAAGGAGCCAAGGCTCTTGGGCAAAAATAGCAAATTCCAGGTTTAGGTCAAGATATATATCAGACAACTTGAAATTTCTTCTGGTGCATTAATCCATTAGGAAGGTCTCAATGACACAGGGCCAACTGGAAGGTGATCCACTGGCTAAAGAAAATATTTTGAGCTCTAAAACAATGATTTATGGCCCTGGCCAGCTAGTTCAGTTGGTTAGTGTTGTCCCAATATGCCAAGGTTGAGGATACCACCTCTGGTCAGGGCACATACAAGAAGCAACCAATGAATGCATAAATAAGTGGAACAAAGGGATGTTCTCTCTCTTTCTCTCCTCTCCCTCTCTCTCTAAAGTCAGTAAGGAAAAAAGATTTGCAATGGACTAAAAACACACGAATTTCATAAATCAACGACTATATTTAAAAGTTACTAGAGGGTCAATTAATTGCACCAAAATCTGAAAATATTTATCCTGCCTTTCCAATATGAATAGTACTTCAGAAAAATCAAATATTAATGAGAAGTTGTTCAGTTTAGAAAGATTATAGTTACCAAGTGCAGAAGGAATTAGAAAACCCACTCTTTTGTAACCCCTAATGAATTACCTAAGACATATCATTAATAACCATCATAAGGTGAAATACTGGTGGCAAACTTTATCACAGACAGATCAGCATATAAAACTTGAAGCCATAAATTCTCTTAATATCAACAATAATGGGAAAACTGTGTTAGGCCATCTGCTGTAATACACTATGAAGCAACCAATCAATGTATAAACAAGTGGAACAACAAAATCGATGTTTCTCTCTCTCTTCCTTTCTCTCCTCTAAAATCAATTAAAATCAATTTTAAAAAAAGAAATGTATTGTCTGAATTCAGATATTTTTTAAGTATTTTTAAAATATGTATACACAATGGACTTCAAAGACTTGGGATGAAAAGAGAATGTCAAATACCCCAACCATATTTTTAAATTATTACATACCGAAATGGCAATATTTGGGGTATATTGGGTTAAATAAAATATATTATTAAGCCTGGCCGGGTGTGGCTCAGCGGTTGAGCATCAACCTAGGATCCAGGCGATCGGGGTTCGATTCCCAGTAAGGGAACATGCCCGGGTTGCGATCACCAGTCGGGGTCGTGCAGGAGGTGGCAGATCAGTGACTCTCTCATCATTGATGTTTCTATCTCTCTCTCTCCCTCTCTCCTTTCCTCTCTCTGAAATCAATAAATATATACTAAAACATATATATATTAAAATTAATGTCACCTTTTAATAACTTCTTTTGAATATAGCTATTTACAAATTTAAAATTCACATACATGGCTCACATTCTGTTTTTATTGAACTAGCACTGCCCCAGATCATACGAGTAGGGAAAAAACTGACACAAGGAAGCAATCAGTTCAGCGTGTGGGAAAATACTAAAGATTTCTCCAACAAATTGAATGTCACAAATTTTTTTAAATGGGAAAGGAAGGGATGGAGAAACAGATTTAAGGACATCTCTAGTATAACATGCTGGACTTCTACTAGAAGCTTTTCATGAATCATCTCAATTCATCCTCTCAATTTATCTAAATTCTCTTGGCACCCCCAAGTACTATTACCTCAGATAAAAATAAACTGATATAATATTATCTCCACTTTAACAGATGAGGAAATTTAAGGCTCAGTCAAGCTATGTAAGCTGCCTAACACAAACAGTGTGAAGTCCCAGTGCAGAGCCAAATAATCTGATTCTGCAGCCCATGAGCTTGTCTTCCGCCAGTTGTCCACTGTGGCGGGCACTAGGCACAGCCATTTATTAACTTATGAAATATCATTCCTACTTCCTCTACCTTACTCAAGACTACCAACTGAGGGTTGGTTATCTAGTCTCAACTACACAAAAAGGCCTAATTAAAAAAAAATCCATATTTAGCTTATGTCTATAAACCTAGCATTTTTATTACACTGAAGTCAATCACAACACCCAGAAAATCTCAGACTATTAAAATAGAGAAAAACACACACAAAAATCACACAAAACAGAAAAATTGTCATATCTGAATTACATATTAAATGAAAAAATTAATTCAACCCAGATCTTACCTAAAACCTGGCCAGCAATCATCCTGCCATCCTCTCCTGCCACCGCAGCCCGGGCATTTCTCTCATTAACATATTGAACGAAGGCAAAGCCCTTATGAACAGAGCAACCCACAATTTTGCCATACTTTGAGAAGATAGCCTCCACATCAGATTTCTTGACCACAAGAGTATTGAGATTCCCAATGAATACGCGGGAGTTCATGGAGCGAGGATCTGTCTTGTTGGTAACATTGCTGGCCATTGTCTTTGATGATAAGGTTCCTCACAAAGCCGAAACTGGAAGGGAAAAAAATGCATTCAGGTGAAAAGATGCTAAATACAAAATATTCCTTGATAAAACTTTATCTACTCTTATTTTAAACCACTATGACTACCTAGAGTGTACTATCAGTCAACCTCCATGGATCTCACAACAGCAAGTCTATTACTATTCACAGATTAGAGCACCTGAATATATCCTTATAGAAATTCAATTTCCCCTTCTCTAGTTTATTCCAACAGATTTTTTTTTTCCAAGGGGAAAAAAATAATCTTCATAGACAATTGGCGACACAATATTCTTGAACATTTAATTCTAAGTGAACCCTCTGTTTTAAAGTTCTCAAGCAAATTAGAACCCCTAAACTCTCTACCACCAATTTCAACGCGTTTTTCACCTTCCCAGTCATGCTAACCTAGCCACTGCTCGCCATCTATCAATAAATCCATATTTTTGCACATTGCTTTTACTAAAATGAGTCTCACTGATTCTCCCAAAGATATACAAAAACTCCAAATTCTGTCAAGAAATCATTCTTTAGCTAGATTAATGTGGAAAACTGACTCTGCCCTTCAAGTATAATTGACCTTATTATACAAAGGCAATAGACAGAACCAATGCATTCATTCTGGAAATAAATATATCTAAGTACTTCAACTGACTTACAATATGCCAAATATCTTAAGTATAAAATATTTTTATAGAAGGTGATGGCTCTTTACTTCCCTCTTATGTGGTACCCCACAAAATATAGCTGGAACATTTAATACTACTGGATGGTGATGATAAACACTGCATGAAATCAAAAGACCACAGAAACTAAGGAAGAGAATAAAAACTTCCTCAGACTATTTCAATACAAAAATTATCTTTATGTATGTTAGACTCAATCTTAATGTTTGGCATTCTTTTTTTAGATTAAAGATAGCAGTGTCTAATGTTATTTTTCCAATCCTAAAGAGAACCAATGACAAACTAATCTTCATGGATTATGTTAAAATGTCTTCTATACACACACATAATAAAATAGGCAGTATACATCATTTATACATGACCTCAATTCTGACCTACAAAATACCTAGTCATTTCACAAGCAGTACTGATTTTAAAGATTTAACAACGGCTTCTCCCTCCTACAGTTTCTGAAATTCAGGACACCATCTATTCTATTTTGTTTCTTAAATTACATCTTTATATATACAAGAGTACATAAACATCTTTTTCTAGACTAAACAATGAAAATTTACCAAACAGTGGCCAGAGAATCACCCACAGCCTTTCAACTGTGTGAGTGCCAGAAATCCTTAGAATATCAAGAATTAAAACATAAACCTAGTCCTAGACAGTGTTGCTCAGTGGTTCGAGCACCAGCGTGTACACCAAAGGGTCATAGGTTCGATTCCCAGTCATGGGCACATACCTGGGTTGCAGGTTCAATACCTGGTCCCGGTTGGAGAGAGTTCGGGAGACAATCGATGTTTTTCTCCCCCCGCCCTTTCCCACTCCCTGCCTCCAATGGAAAAAATAACTTAGGGGTGAGGATTAATAACAACAAAGGAAAAACAAAAAATCTACTAAAGAGAAAGGGTGGTTCTACGAGCCACCAGCATACTGAACATGAGGTGAAACCACCAAACAATAGACATTAAATTTATGTTCCTTTCATATATACACGTCCCTTTCACATAAAATACTCCTTTGAACCACAGCAGAAATGGATTCAAATGACGATTTCCTCCATTTTTCAAAAGGGTGCTACATATAGAACAGAATTCATGACATATAAAAAGTGCCTTACGTCAGCAATTTTCAACTTTTCATCTCATAGGACATATAAACTAATTACTATATTTCTGCAGCACCTCCAAAAATGTATTTTTTTGTCCACCTAACCAAAAAATAAAAATAAGTGTAATTTTGATTCATTCACACTGGACAGCTATTATCATTTTTTAATTTGAGAATCTAAGGGAAAAAAGGCGTCTGCACCCCTGACAAAATAGGTATTGCATGTTTTAAAAATTCTTGGGGCACACCAGTGTGCTGTGGCAAGTCACCTTAGGGTATTACGGCTTGTTGCTCAAGGAACCCTATTAGATACCCAGATGTACAAATAAAAAGGTGCTAACAGTGGTTGTCATCTCTAAACTTAAGGATAGGATTTTATTTCCCATTCTTTGATAATGTGTGGTTTCTAAATCTGATACAAAAAATCATGAAAATGTTAATGAAAATAATACAATGATCCCAGTTTCAAAAGCTGGGCTAACGTGAACTGAGTATCTTTCAACATCCATACTTACTATAAGGATTTAATGAATATATGAGTAACAGTAAGTACAGATGAACTCACAAAGATCCATTAATCCCACTCCTAGAAACACATCCTCTTAAGGAGTCAAACAGGAGTTACCACAAATTATTTTTTCATTTAACATTTCTTGAGTATTTGCTAAGTACCAGGCACCAGGGCTACTTCAGGGGACAAATGGGAGCAGGTGATTCTAGTGGTACTGTTTAAAATATCTAAAATAGCCAAATGATCTCAGATCACACTTCACCCTAGCTCTGATTGCTAAGGGGAGAAAAACGGTAAAAATCCTAAATGGACAGACATTACTGGAAAAGAACTGGGGTTCCTGAAAGAAACCAACAGCACAGCATAGTTTTGGAATCGTTCTGAATCCTTGCATAAAAGCAACCAGATGGTAAAGCCAAAAACCTATGAACAGTATTTACAACAAAACTTGGTGTCAAGGTATCCCAATCAAAACTTTCAAAATGCAAGCTGGTAAGGGCAAGCCAACATACATACTGGGGAAGTAGCAAATGGGAGTCTAAAAGACCTAGGAATTAAAGAATCCCAAAATACCCAGCTAGTATTTCTGGAAAGAACCAATTTTAAGAAAAACAGATGAAATGGGGAGTATTTCTCCTGCTACAGTAGCGAGTAGTAGTGAGTAAAAAGGTTTGATGGTGCTAGAGTAGCTTAGTCTCGACAAAATCTCACAACTGACACAGAAGCTTCACGTGCGTCATCACTCTCTCTCCCCTCCCCCCAAAGTAATTACTACTCTAGTTAATCCCCTGCTTTTATAGTAAATGTGTATCCCTAGACAGTATGGTTTTACCCATTAAAACAAATTATTGTTTTTTTAGAGGGGGGAGAGGGAGATACTTTGGTTTTGTTTCTCCACTTATTTACACTTTCACTGGTTGATTCTTGCCTATGGGCACTGACTGGAGACCAAATCCCCAACCTTGGTGCAAAACACAAACTGAGCAACCTAGCCAGGGCCCAAATTTGATGTCTTTTAAAAGCTCTTTTTAGGTTAAGTTCCCCTTCCATCCCTTTAAATTAAAATTTATGTGTTGCCCAGCTGGGAGTGGCTCAGTGGTTGAGTATCGACCTAGGATCCAGGTGATGGGGGTTTGATTCCTGGTAAGGGCACATGCCCGAGTTGCAGGCTCAATCTCCAGTAGGGGGACGTACAGGAGGCAACCAATCAATGACTCATCATTTATGTTTCTTTCTCTCTCTCTCCTTTCCTTTCTCAGAAATCAATAAAGATATATATTTTTTAATTAAAATTAAAAAATAAAATTTATGTGTTGACAAATCCAAGGCTATTGACTTGCCATTCCCAGTCCGGATTCTTCAGAAATTTCATACTCTTAATACAATTCCAAATATTCTTGTCATCTCTACTTCCTGAAATAGTAAACTGGGACCAAAAGCTTGATTAGACTCATGTGTGACTGTTTTGTACTGTCTTTTAAATTTTTAGATCTTTGGGAAATTATTTTTAAATATATCTTTATTGATTTCAGAGGGAGGAAGGGAAAGAGAGATATAAAGATCAATGAGAGTAGTCACTGATCGGCTGCCTCCTGCATGCCCCTGAATGGGGATCAAGCCCAAATCCAGGCATGTGCCCTGACTGGGAATTTAACCCCGATGGCCTGGATCCTAGGTCAATACTCAACTGCTGAGCCACATCCAACCAGCCTGTTTTATAAAGTCTTTTTGTGATGCTATTAATGCTTAAATTCTACTTTACAGGTATTATGTTCAAAGCTTATCACTAATATTTTACCTAGAACGAACTTGTAAGAATAGTTCCTCAGTTCTTGCATGTTATTACCAGTCTGCCTGTGATCTTTACATTTGAGTTTCCTGGGTATAAAATCATTGGATCATATTTTCTTTCTTTAAATGTTATGCCATTTCTGCCTAGCCGGGCATGGCTCAGCGGTTGACCATCGGCCTAGGATCCAGGCGATCAGGGTTCGATTCCCTGTCAGGGCACATGCCCCGGTTGTGGGCTCAATCCCCAGGAGGGTGAGGGAGGGAGAAACACTGATTTGTTGTTCCACTTATTATGCATTCACCGGTTGATACTTGTGTGCCCCCTGACTAGGGATCAAACCTGCAACCTTGACAAATCATGAGGACGCTCTAATCAACTGACCTACCTGGCCACAGTCAAATTAGTTGTTTCTTAAACTAAATATTGATTACTACAGAAGATCTAAGTAAATAAAGTATAGAATTAAAAAACTAAATGATGTTTCTTTCCTAAAATTGGTTTGAGTAAAACCAATATGGAAAGGATTTCTGAAAAGATTATGTCCCATTTACTGTGCATCCTGTTTAATTCACTCATGGACGTCAAGTGGATATGGTTTCCAGAACAGAATTTTACCAAGGTACAGATAATAGAAAGAAAAAGACTGAATATGTTCCCAGAAGTTACTGAGTTGCAAGCACTAAAGTCTGTAGTGCATGAATGCATGTGCACGTCTGTATTGGTTTTCATCCCAGGTTCTTATTCTCATCAATTTTTTTTCCTTACCTGAAAATATTTTTTCCTTTGCTTTTCAGAGAGAATGGGAGAGAGACAGAGAAAGAAACACTGATGTGGGAGACACATCAATTGGTTGCCTCCTGCACACCCCGACCTGGGTTAGGGATCTGAGCCTGCAACCGAGGTACATACCCTTGGTTGGAATCAAA